CCAGTCTTGGACCAAGCCCCCTTCAAGGCTGCTCCTCACACTCCCACATTAGGTGTCAAAGTGATATTTCTTCAAAAGCACAGAGCGCAGCTCCTGGCCTCAGCCCTCAGGATGTTGGGTCTGGTGGGTGACAAACTGGGACACCCCTGCTTACACATGCTGTGGTGTGAACCTAGCGGCCACAAGAACTGGGTGAGCTCATAGAAGAGGATGTGGGTACAGCCTGGAGATCAAAGGTGGGCTTCCTGGAGGAGGTGACTCCGGGATCAGTGGTGGAGTTGGTAAGATACAGGGAGAGGGTACAGTTGTCAGCAAATGGAGGAGCACAGGTGAGAACAGGCTGGGGAGGGGGCGGCTCTGGGCAGCTCAGAACAATGAGAACTAAACTGAGGGGTGAGGTAGAGATGGCGCTGGAGAGACTTCTTGCCGCACCCCTACTCCTATGCCTCGGAGCCGCCTGAGAATACCTAGCATTTGAGGTCCCCTCAAAGGGCCCCATTCCCTGGTGGGGGACTCAGGAAGGCACAAACAAGACAGGGTGAGCTCAACAGTGTGAACCAGTAGATGGGGGCCATGAGCCCAGATCAAGAGGAAGCAGCTGAAGAGATCTTTCTGGACGGAAGGTCTCCTGATCATTACTGATTTTACCTGTGGCTTCCAAGCCACGCTGCCTGGAGCCATGCACAGGTCATCTGGGTCCAGTCACCATGGTTCCCAAGTGGCAGCCCCAGTAGACCTCAGCCATGTGCTTACAGAGAGTCAGGGACACCCGGGAGCCCTCACCCCTCTGTCCCGTGCCATTCACCTGATAGGGTATCTTCTGCTGTCCCTCACCCTCCAGGTGCAGAGGGAATGCGCCACATTCCATAGACAGTAGAGGCGAGGGCTGACAAGCATGTTCACCACAAGGGCAGCCATTAAGGGGCCATCACGGGGCATCTGCTGTCCAATAGTCCCCAACTCTGGCACTGACCACTCAATAGTAAGTGAGCTCCAGACCCTGAGATGCGTTGGCCTTTCTATCTCCTCAGCTGTGGAAAGAAAGTGGTCCTAGGAGCAGCCAGGGCTCTACTTTTGAGCTGAAGACAACCCTGTAGTTCTTGAGTGTTGCTTTAGCAGTACAGGGAGACATGTTAAAAATAATAACAGAAGCCAGGCAGGTGGCACACACCTTAATCCCAGCAGCTCCAGAGACCAAGGCAGGAGGATCACCAGTCCAAAGCCAGCCTCAGCAACTTAGCGAGGCCCCAAGCAACTCAGCAAGACCTTGTCTCTAAATAAAATATATAATAAAAAGGCTGGGGATGTGGCTCAGGGCTAAGTGCTCCTAGGTTAAATCCCTAGTTTTAAAAAAATGTTTTTTAATTAAAAAAAATACTATCTATATGTAAAATACACGAATGCATGTCACCTGTACCTACCATAAATATGTATGTATGTGTGTGGCGGGTGTGTTCAAATTCAGACATTTGTAGAAAACCAGGAACACTTTTCACACCCCATCCCCTACATTCCTCAGAGAAGTCACTGTGTGGGGATGGACATCCTTCTAGACATTTTTCTGTGCGTTTACAAACTAAACAAATGCCTGAATATTCACAAATTTAGTTTTGTTGTTGTTGTTGTTGTTTACAAAAAGAGGATTCTATCAATGCCCAGTGACAAGGCTCATTCAGTTCACTTAATTTATCTTGGATTCTTTCCCCTGTTCTGTAGCCGGGGCAGAGTATTGCATTGTACAGGGTGTTCAGACTCATTCCCTTTTCCCTTAGTGCAGAAACCCTGCAGTGAGTTTCTTTGGCCATACATCCTTGATCGTGGGAATTGATACATTTGTACAATAGATTCCGTGGCACAGAATAACAGGATGGAGGCTAGTGCACGTTTGTAAAGCATATGCCAAATTCCTTTGGCAGGGTGGCTCCCGTTTCCACTCTCACCCACAGTGTGCAACAAGCATCCGGCTCCTCACGTCCTGACTGATACTGCATCTTATCAAAACCTGACTTTCCAGTCTGATGGGGGAAAAATCATATCCCATGGGTTGTTTCATTTTGTATTCCTTTACTTACAAACAAGCTTGTGCATCTTTTCATATGTTTATTTGCCATTGGTACTTATTTTCCTGTAATTATCCTGTTTATATTCTTCAAAGATTTTTTTTAGGGCAATACTGATTTATTTATTTTCTTTCTTTCTTTTATAATGATTTTTTTGAGTTGTGGGGGCTCTTAAGTACTTTGCTGCTTTTTAAAAAATTATCATTAATATTATTATTCTTATTATTATCATCATTATCATCATCATCATCATCATCATCATCATCGGTACCAGGGATTTGTCTGTTATACATGTTGCGAATATTTTCCTCTCAGTGTGTCATCCATCTTTTAACTTTTGCTTATAGCATATGTTTGCAAAGGGAAATCTTAAATATTTATGTAAAATACGTTAGGGAATTTAAACTGACTTGGACTCGTGGTTGGTCTCTGCCTCAGCAGTTGCCCAGACATATGTGTATATTGCAGTGATTGATAAACCTTTCAGAAGCTAAATAAGTCCATGGATGCCCTTATTTGCATTCATTTCCCTCACAGGGTAGATGCTGAAAGTACAACTGTTATTGTACAGGGTGTTCTAGAAAAATCTGTGATGCAGCAGGATGTTCCCCGAACATGGAAGGATTGGGGACCACTGAGACAGAGGCTGTTCGTGGAGGGACAGGTGGCTAGGGAACCCCGAGTCACCATTCACATCCACCGGCGCCCAGAAGGGAAGAGCGAGCCTCTGCTAGTGTCAGTCTCGCCTCTCAAGGGAAGGGAGGGCAGTGCCCTATCACTATCGTTCCTGACTCTGGTCACAGGTCCACACTGCCAGGGGGCCGGGACCCTGTGATTGATAGTTCAACCAGACCACCGGGGGCGGGGGCTCACTGACAGAAAGAGGGGAGCGAGGTGGACAGACAGGACAGGTCACAGGATGCCCCCTTGACACCAGAAGGCTGTATCAGGGAGAGTGAGTCTGGAGATGGGAGAGTGAGCCGAACTGAGGCTCCACCCTCCTGTAAAGTGGTCTCAAGGACACCAGTGTCCTGGTGGACACCTGCGACAGTCAGATGGCATTAAGTGAGGAGGTGAGGCCAGTATCTGTCACTCAGCAGGCCCTCACCCGACCACAGTTCTCCTCATTCTGAGAGGAGGATGGGTGCTCACGGTGAAGTTCAGCCCCACCCTGGGCTGCTGCTGGCCTTTGCCCCGTGGTGACTGCATCACTGTGACCTGCTCTGTTTTCCCCGCAGTCCACCTGATCCCCATGTCAGCAGCTAGGAATGGAGCAAGCAGCAAGAGTCGAAAGAGAATCATGCCCGACCCGGTGACGGAGCCCCCGGTGACAGACCCTGTTTATGAAGCCCTTCTGTACTGCAACATCCCTCGCGTGGCAGAGCGCAGCATGGAAGGTGGGCCTGGCTGTGCCCCTGACCTGGCCCCTGTAGGCAGGACCTTGATACCTCATGGGCACCCTGTGGGGACAGCTCTCCAAGCGTGCAGCACAGCAGTAAGGAGCTGGCCTTCCTGGGCTTGTAGCCAGCAGTTGCCACCAGGCCATGTTCTGTAGCGAGTTCCACAATCTTAGCCTGCCCCCCTATAAGACAGGCTGGCCAGCGGGACCTGCACGTGAGATGCTGGTGGGAGCAAGTGACCTCGATGAACAGCACACCGCTCAGGAGTACCCTCCAGAGGTGTCTGCCATTATCACGATCTTTAGTGGGCAGGATGGAGCAGTGGCCCCCACCAGGCTCCCAGGCTTCACCCACTCTCAGCTGCTCTGCTTTTCAGGGTAGAACCAGGGTGGACTTCAGATGCCCACCGGATGCCCTGCTGGTGTCTAGCCATAAAGGTGTGGGAGAATGCAGTTCCTCCAGCAAGTTTTGCTTTTCTGAGCGTGTATCAGGCTGGTGTGGAATATTTATCTATTTGCCCTGTGCCCTGTTTCATGGAGGATTTAAAGCAGCAGCCTGGTTTTCAGGATTGCCGTGGGCCTCCCTGTCTCTGCGTAGGAGCGAGGCCACATTAGTAGTCATGCCCACATCTCACCAGCCTTCAGCCCCCAGCCACATCCCCTGTCCCACCTCTGGGGCTCTTCAGCAGCCTCCACCCAGCATAGCAGCCCCTCCCACAGCTCAGGCCCCTTGATGGCTGCTCTGTGACCTCTTGGTGGCCCCCCTGCTGCCTCCCTCTCATTCCCAGCCCAGGCCTGGCCAGGTCCCCTCACCAGTCCTCTTTTAAAAGGATCGACACCTTTTAGAAGCGTCAAGCGTTGACTGGACCCTGTGCTTCTCTCACAGGTCACGCCCCACATCATTTCAAGCTGGTCTCCGTGCACGTGCTGATTCGCCATGGGGACAGGTACCCACTGTATGCCATTCCAAAGACAAAGCGGCCAGAAATCGACTGCACTCTGATGGCTAACAGGTAAAGACTCCTTTTTCAAAAGTCACTTGCCACAATCTGCTCTATCCTGTTCAGTGGAGAGTTACAGGACCAGGGAGCCTAAGCTCCAGCCCTGCATTGAATGTCATCACTGTACAGATGAAAGGACTGAGGCCACAGAAGGGAGCATCTCTCTCAAGTAGCCCAACAGGGACACTGAGGCCTGAGCCTGCCAGTTCTGAAGTCCACCCTGCCATGCTTCAGAGAGCTGGGTGGGGCCCAGGGAGCTGTGTGGCTCAGGAATCCTGGCCCAGCTCAGCTGCTCCTTTGGTCTGGGAGCTCAGCTTCTCACCTCTGGAATGGGGACGACTCTGCCGGGCTGGGCTGGGGGGTGTGAGCAATGGCACATGAATGTGAGGTAGTGTTTCCACCATTTTTTAAATGTTTTTTAGATATTGACGGATCTTTATTTTTTTTTATTCATTTATTCATTATGCAGTGCTGAGAATCGATCCCAGTGCCTCAAGCATGCTAGGCGAGCACTCTACCACTGAGCCACAACCCAAGCCCTGTGTTTCCACCATTTTATTTTTCCCAGGAGTTAGAGTCAGCCTGGTCTTGGTTGAAAGCCCTTAGGATAAAAAACAATTGAACAGAAAGTGGAAATTGTATATATGGAAATGGCACAGGCCTAAAATTAGAAGCCTAGTTAGCAATAAGGTGATGGGCCTGGCCTCCGCGAATGTGTCTGGGCACAGAGCATCTCTTGCAGGGTTCACTGAATGAGGTCAGAGGGGAGTGCTGGAGGCAGGCAGGCAGAGTGGGAGGCATTATTTGGATGGAGGTTTCTGGGGTGGGGCCAGCCGGGTGGAACTGTGGGTCCCCTCCCTGCAGCGAGGCTGTTTTTCAAAAGCGTCCTGAACCTGGTCTTGATTCAGGTTCACTCTCTGCGTCTCAAGCCCTCTCACTGGAGTGTGGGGAAGATTAAGTGAACCATTTTAGGTATGGGCATCATGAGGCACTTGGGTGGTCTTCTCTGTCATCCTGGAGGTCCCAGCTGGCAGCCTGGCTATTCATATCTTCTTCCCTGTGTCCAGCAAAAGGGAGTATATCCCATTGTCTCACGGGCTGGAAAACACCCTGGGTGAGTCCAGACCACGTCAGAGGACAAGTGGACACCGCTGTTCCCTCCACGCTGAGCCCCTACTCTCTTGACCTTTCCCAGGGGGCTCCCCCCCCCCGACTCCTCCCCAGCCCCTCCCTTCATGCCTTTGCATTTCATGCCACTTCACTGCCTGGTCCCCATCCCCGCTTGGCCCACTCTGACAGCTCCTTCAAGGCCCCTCGAGATGCTTCCTCCTCCAAGAAGCCTCCCCAGCACCTTTGGGTGGCTCTGTGGCCCTGGTGGGTTACATTGAAAAGAGGGGTAAATGGCATAGGTGTCAGAAAAAGCAAAGCAAGAGTTAAATATCTGAAGCCAGTCCCTCGCCTGGCCTCGGGCTGGGGCAAGGTGGAGGCTCTCATTGTGCTGGGCATTGGCACCAAAGCTCTGGCGGGTGGAGGAAGTTGGCACAGGGAGTGGCTTATCTCCATCAGGCACAGCAGGGTTTCTGTGTGTCAGCAGCTGGCACAGCCCTGCCCTTGCCCACTGGCTGGACATCAGTCCTTTGATCAGCCAGGAAGGAGATGGACCATGAGGCCTCTAGGCCAGGCCTGTGCAGGGCAGCCTTGAAGGCACTGTGAATAATAATGAGCTTCTCCCCCAGCCGCTCCCAGCATCCATTTCCTTTTTCTTTCCTTCATGAGTGCATTATAGCTCCACACAATAGTGGGGTTCACACTGACAGATTCATAAATGCACATAACATAATTTGCTGCACGTCAATCACTAATATTTCTCTTTATCCTTCCTCTTCTCTCCCAGATCCCTTCCTTTACCCTACTGCTCTCCCTCTTATTTATTTTACTTATTTATAATTTTTTAGTTGTGCATTTTAATTACACATGAAAGTAGAATTCATTGTGATCTCATCTCATATGCATCTAGCATCATTTCGTCAGTTTCATTCCACAGTTCCTCTTCTCTCCTGCTCCTCCTCCCTCCCACCATCCCCTTTCTCTATTCTGATGGTCTCCCTTTCTTTTCATGAGATCCCCACTCCTTTTTTTAATCTCTTACTTTTCTCTAGCTTCCACATATTAGAGACAACATTCAACCCTTGACTTTCTGAGTCTGGCTTGTTCCATTCACATGGTGCTCTCCAGTCCCATCTTCTTACCAGCAATGACATAGATTCTTCTTTATAGCTGAGTAGAGCTCCACGGTATAGAGGTACCACGTTTTCTTCATCCACTGACCAGCTGACAGACACCCAGGCGGGTTCTGAAACTTGGCGATGTGAACTGTGGCTGCTCTAAACCTGGAATGCAGGTCTCACTGTAGTGTGCCGATTTCAGCTCTTTTGAGTAAATACCAAGGAGTGGGATCCCTGGGTCTTCCCCTTTCTCTACCTGGGCTTTGCATTCCCAGAAGGCAGAATTTAATTAGCACAACGCAGACCAGGGGTCTGTGCCTAGACCAGTTAGCTGTTGCTAGAACGTCTCTGGGGGCTGCTCTGCAGAGAAGGGTGCCCTTGGTCAGGGCCGCCTCGCAGAGGGCAGGATGTCCCCTGTGCGCCAGGCACTGTGCAGCTCATCTTCCCAGCATGCTGACTGTCCCTGGATCACCAGGGCCCAGCCCAGAGCTTGGCATGTAGCAGTTATTGGACTGGGTGGGTTGCAGAATGAGTTCAGGACCTCAGTGAGAATCACAGGGAGTGGGGCCCGTGATGTGCATCTGTCGTGGGGAGTGGGGCCCGTGATGTGCATCTGTCGTGCGCCTGGCGATGGGTTGAAGCCTCAGCCATGGAATCCCTGGAGGCCTTTGCAACGAGTTTGACGATGGCAAAATCACTTCAGCTCCCTGGGCCTCTGTTCTCCACTCTGGAAAGCAGAATTAATGATACCTCCCATACAGCACCTGTGAAGTCCAATGAAACAATGGGATAAAGCATTTAGGCTAGTCCACCAAGCCTGATGAGTGGTCACATGTCATTGCCACAGCGGCCTGGGGCCTTCTGGGCCCAGCCTCTTTCCTCCTCTGCAATACACTTGGTCACCAGACCAGGCCATGTCTCAGGGCCCCTCATGCTATTACCACAATGACAGGGCCCTCAGGTGGGGTCCTTTCTGGAGGGCCTACTTTAGAGGCTCAGTTCCTGTGACCGCTTGCCTGAGATGCCTCTGTCTTCATTTCCCTTTGCCTATTTTCGTTTTATTGACCATCCTTTATTTGTAGGAGCTATTTTAAGTCCTTTGTGGAAGAGGGCAGGGTGTGCATGTTTAGTTCCAGTAGCCCCCCCCCTCGCCTGAGGTCCCTCTCCACCAGTTTCCATTACCCGTGGTCAACTGCAATCTAGAAATATTAGATAGAAAATTCTAGAAATAAACAGAAAGGCCACATGCACATAACATTTATTAGGGTATATTGTTATGACTATTCTGTTTTATTGTTATTCTTGTTAATGTCTCACTATGCCTAACTTATAAATTAAGCCTTAGCATAGTGGGTCTGTACAGGAAAAAAAGAAAAATATATCATCCACAGTTTCAGGCATCCATTGGTTATCCTGGAACCTGCCCCCCCTCAGACAAGGGGTGCTACTGTACCTAACGTCTTTTACTCAATTCCATCTTTAAAGACACACATACAAGTGACAAGCCAGCTCGCCACTGGAGACACATACAGTGTGAGGAGGAGCCCCAGTGCAGGAGACCCACAGTGAGCCACCGACTAACTGCCCGGGGTCTGTGGATCTGGTTCCACAGCTGCCATTTCAGCTCACAAATTAGCGACTTGGTGACGTCCTCGAGGGCAGTGAGACTTGCCTGCAGTGTGTGCATTACTCCCACCCGTGGAAGGGAATGTCTGGGCCAGCGGGAGCTCAGGCAGGCAGGAGTGGTGGCCCGTCCATGCCAATGCCTCAGAGTTTCCTCCCACATGGACACATCTGTGACTCCTAGAGGTTTTGTACCTCTTTGCGAATGCCACACACTTTATGACAGGGGTCCCATCTCATCCCTCAGAGTACTATGTTTAGCCAGCATGAAAGTATTCATTATTCATGTGCCATGTTTAGTTAATTCCTTTTTTTACATTCAGGAATGTAAACCAAATGTGCTTTTGTAGATCTAAGGAGGAAAAACATTCACTTCAGTCTGCAATTATTCAACACATTTTAGTTCTGTTCTCCTATCACGCACTGTCACATAAACAGGAACATAAACGAAGCGAGGCAGCTAACCTGAAATGATCTGAAGAAGGGGTCGCAGGTGGAGGGAGTTCAAGGAGCCAAGGCTGGACCCAGGAGGAAGGGGAGGGTGGGCTTCAAAGTCACAGAGGTAAGGCCATCTCTGTCCTTGGGCCTGCTCACCTCCAGAGAGACCAACTTAGTGCAGGTGTCTGGTGACCCTCCCTGAATGACAGCCAGCTCAGGTGGCAGAGGCAGTGAGGAAAGAAGAGAAAGAAGTAGAAGAAGAGCAAGAAATGAAATGGTTTGAGTGCCCGCATTTTGGAGCATGAGCCAAAAGAGGGCAGCCCATCTCCATGGGGGGCAAGGAGAGGAGGACAGCTGGCAGGTCAGGGAAGGCCACCCTGGGCCAGAAGCTGGAAGTGTGTGCAGGAACAGGTCAGGTAGCTGCTGACAAGAACCGGCCCCTGGGGCAGGGACATCAACCGGTGCACATTGGGGGTTGCAGGACAGGGTGGCATGCTGGGGCCCTCAAAGCGAGGGTCACAGGCCTGAGTGTGGAATGCAGAGGGGTGGAAATGAGGCTGTCCCCAATGCTCCCCGTGCCAGCAGAGGAGAGAAGGCATGAAGTGACCATGCTGCACAACAGGGGTTGGAAGCAGGTGGCAGGGTTAATGCTGTTAAGGGACAGTGGTCCAGAGGGAGTCCCTGGGAGCGGGTCCTGCCTTCCAAACACAGCCTCCAAGGCCTCCTCTGCCGTCTGACCTCCCCTGATTCCACAGCCCTCCCAGCTCTCCCCAGGACACACATTCATTGCACAAATAATGATGGAGGCTGGAACTCAGGGAAGGGCCCCAGAGATGGAGGGGAGGGCCTTAGAGAAGGGCCATGTGGGGTCGTTAGATGGATAAGCAGGGGGAATCGTGTTCAGATTCTGATGGGTCATCTACTGGTGGCATTACACCTCCCTGGAATAGAGAGCATGGAAGAAGGGAGGAGGGAAGGGAAATTGTGACTTTGGGCGTCCGTGCTGCGAGGGAGCCATCTTCCAACATTCAGGTGACACCATCCAGTACTTGGGCGCTCGGGAGCATCATCTTGCTGCGAGACGGGGTCACTGGACAGTGTTGAGTATGTGGGTGGCAGCTGAAGCTGCAGGCTTGAGTAGATCCCAGGGAGAACCTGCAGAGGGGGGAAAGGGCCAGAAGCAGGCCTAGGAAGCACCATTATGTAATTGGCACTGAGAGGAAAAGGCCCCCAGGGGTGAGGCTGAAGGTGTGCCAACTGGGGAGGTCGGCAGAGCACAGGAGAGCAGAGGCGTGTGCGGCCATTACTCACATCAAGTAGAACAAAAAGGCCCAGGAAGCCAAAGACAGAAGGGTACACTGGGCTTATTTTAGAATTTCATTTTGTTGAGATTGTAAATAATAATTTTTTTAACTGGCATAAATATTAAAAATCTGATGTGAACCCCTTCCTGTCCCCAGCCAGGTGGGTTTGGGGCGTGGCTTTCTGATAACAGCGCTGATGCTCTCACTCTTCCCTCTGAGCACTTGAACATTCTGTGCAGGGCTCAGAAATGTCTCAGCATTCACTGAAGCAGAGCACGATCCCTCCTGAGAGTATAGATTGGCCATGGGGCTCTGTCTCGAGCTTTGTGGCATGAATAGGGACGAGCAAGGCACAGAAAAATGTGAAAAGGACTCAGAAGTGAATGATTTGAAGGCTTTAAATCAGAGCACTGTGAATTGTTTCAGATTTCAGTATGAAAGCAGATTTCCAATGAGACGGCAATGAATTTTTGCTGAAGGAAAATGCATCTGCTTAGACACTATCATTTCTCCATTATTCAGGACAAGTCTGGGCCGTAGTAACAAAGAGACTCAAGAATATATTGCCTTAGCCAGGCCTCAGTGACTCATGCCTATATTCCCAGCAAATTGGGAGGCCGAGGGAGGAGGAGTGCAAGTTCAAGTCTATCCTCAGCAACTTAGGGAGGTCTTAAACAACTTAGCAAGACCCTGTCTCAAAAAATTAAAAGGGCTGGGGATGTAGCTCAGTGGTAGAGTACTCCTAGATTCAATCAATCCCCAGTACCCACCCCCCTGAAAAAAAAAAAAGGCATTGCCTTAAATAATAAAGAATTCATCTCTTTTTTGGGTGAAGATATGAGATAAATGTTCCCAGTCATGTACCTTGGCTCTACCTGGTCATCGGGGCTCTAGGTTCCTTCCAGGTGTTGATTCTACCATCCTCATGTACCACTGGCACTCTCACCCACGATGGCCTTTGTTTTTAAGATTTCCATCAAAATCTGCATGTTTTAATAAACACTACGGGAACTCATCGTATTCGTCACTACAGATCATGGAGGGCTTTGTGTTCAGGGTTGGTGATTGCATGAGGATGAGACACTTCACAGTTGAATCCATCCCCATGTGTTTTTGTCACATCTACCTTGTGCTCAGTGTCCTCTGGGCTCCGTGGAGCTGTAGCAAAGGGAGGCAAGGCCAGGGGGTCAGATGGGAACACGTCCAGGGACTCAGTTACCTAGTCCTTCTTCTATTAAAATCACTGAGCCACCTGTTATCTGTTTTGGAAATGAAGTTTTTTCCCCTCCGAGAATCTTTGTCTTTCCATACAATAAAAGTAGTAGTGATGGATGCAATTAGATATCAAAGCATCGTTAAGCAACCAGAGGCCCTGAAAACCTGGGGCATCTCAGCAAACATTCAATAGTGAAATTCCCCCATTGCTCAAATTGGCAGCAAAACTGTCTCAGATCCTCAGAAATCACCAACCTGAAATGATGAGCCGGAGCAGAAACTTGACTCCTGTCCGTCGTCAGCCTTTGTTCCTGTGGATCTGCATATGCCCCTCATTGTCAATCTGGGCATTTCATTTCCTAGTTTGCAAACAAACTAAACTCAGGAAAAATGAAATTCTCTCTGTGTTTTTATGGAAAGGCATAATTCCCTGAAGCCATGCAGGATGATTTATTAGACTCTTCTGCATGTCAGGATTGACTCTCATTTTAAAACATATTTTTAAAAGATGGATTTTTTTCAGCTTTATGTTTTTGAAAGATGATACACTCATTGTGGCAGCAATATTTAAAGCATCACCAAAGTTAATTGGGCTTTCAGACAGCAGGGGTTTGCTATTAGAAACTTTATCTTGGCTTCTCACTGGTCCCTATGTAGTTTTGTTGTGAACGTCTCTTCATTTTTGTTCAGCTGGAAAATGTGGACACATTCATGGGCCATTTCATTACTCAAAGAAAATGTTCATATGCTCATAGGTCATTCATTATTCAGGGGAAGTGACTTTGAAAGGTAAATTATATCTTCACTGACTGTACAGAAATGTAGATCATCTCAGACCTCATATACAAACTTTTTTAGCTCTTCCTCACCACTCCACATTCCTATGTGCAAAATGCATGTTGAACTATAAAGAGCTACAGAGACCTTGGATGTCTCGTTCAGTTTCCAGAGGTCAGAAAAAGTAAAGGTTAGGGTCAGCTAGGTCAAGGTTGGGTGGACCTTCTAGGAGGAAAGGACTTGTAGAAGGGGTGCAATGGGAAAGGATGGGGTGTGCTGTGTGCTGGGGGCACCATTGGCCCTGTGTGGCCAGGGCACACTGCTGGAGGGAACACGGCTGGGCAAGTGGGGATCCGCAGGTAGGGCCAGAACAGCCCATGCACAGCTCTTTCCTGAATGTGGCGATGTGGAAGGGCAGTGACCCGGCAGAGGTGCCTTTGAGGTCCATCCCTCTGGTTATGGAGAAGACCACAGTGAAAGGGTACAGTCAACCTGTAGGAAGGCCAGTGAGGGCCCATTACCATCCAGATGGAAGCTGCCTGAGGCCAGATCCCAGGGATGCAGGAGAAGGAGACAAAGAAGCACCAAGTGGAAGGATCTGGGAAGTTGGAGGGCAAGTGACAAGGGAGAGAACAGGACAATCCCTTGCCTGGGGCAGGGCTGCTGCATAGTTTTGAGTGGTCTCCAGGGAAGGCCAAGAGCAGCCCGGTGGGGACAAAGCTGGAACAGGACACCTTAGGTGCAGTGAGGGGCTCGGGCTGACCTTCCAGAGAAGGTTCCCGTGGTTGAGTCATAATGAAATTGCAATTTAAAAGTGACTGACCCAGCAGCTCGGGAGGCTGACGTGGGAGGATCATGAGTTCAAAGCCAGCCTCAGTAACTCAGCAAGGCACTAAGCAACTCAGCAAGACTCTATCTCTAAATAAAATATTTTTTAAGTAAAAGGGGAGGGCGTGGGGCAGGGGATGTGGCTCAATGGTTAAGCACCCCTGGGTTCAATCCTCAGTACAAAAAGAAAAAGAAAAGTGACTGAACCAGACTCTATTACTGGAGGTGAGAAAGGTGTGGATGTGAAGTCTGGGCTGTGTGTGACCCACTCTGACTGTCAGTTTTCCATGTCTTCTCTTTAGGAAACCTTACCACCCTAAACTGGAAGCTTTCGTGAATCACATGTCCAAGGGATCAGGATCCTCTTTCGAAAGCCCCTTGAACTCTATGCCGCTCTACCCCAACCACGCCCTGTGTGAGATGGGGGAGCTCACACAGACAGGTATGTGACCCCCCCATCCCTCCCTCATCCACATAAGGAGCCAATACTCTGGATGAGGTGCTGCGGGGCTCAGAGGGGAATCGACCCTCACCTCGAGGTGCTCCAAGACTCCCAGGTAGCTGATAAACATCTGCTTTCTTGATATTAAAAATGACTATTCTTACTGCAAAAGCAATGCATGTTCAGGAAGAGAATTGACAAGACTTTAAAACCAAAAGAAAGCACCAGAGTGTCATTACTACCCTGAGTAGTAAATTTCTTCCTGTGGGTGTGTGTGTGTGTGCACACGCACAGAGCAGTATGTCACTAACACACTCTGACCCGCTTTGTGACATTAGAATATTCGACGAGCATCTTGTCCTGTCATTTAATGTTCATCCCATGACCGTGATGGCCGCACACTGCTCCACCAAGGAGGGGCCGTCGCTTACCTGACCAGTCTCATGTTCTTACATCTTGCAAATCAAACTGCTGCTTGAATGTAGCAGACCTCAGGGAGCCACAGTATGGCGATTCCCACTGCACGTGGAGGATGTTTGGGCTCCTCAAGAAGCCCACCTCTGCCTCTATGGCCTAGTCGTACCACTGTGCAGTCAGGTCACCATCAGGGGAGGTCACTGAGTTAGCTGCAGGGTGACATTTGCTGGGAAGAAAAGGAACTGGTTCTCTCTCTGGCATTTTAGGGTCCTGGTTCTTCAGTCTGGGACCTCAAAGGACCTTTGTGCAGCCACCAGCCTCCATGGGGGATATGGAGAGGCCTGACACCATGCTCTGGTCCCTTGTTCTGTCAGTATCTTGGGGCTTCTGTTTAGATGGAAGGAGGGTCTTTGTCCTAGAGTTGGGACTGCTGGGTTTTGTCAGATGTTCAAAGCCACAGCTCTTGAGGGAGTGACGGCAGGTGATAGAGGGGCAAACAAGGCTCTGGAGGACTTGCCTTAGCCGGAGAGTTGGGTTCAAAGCTTTTGGCAGTCAGTACCACGTGCATGACCTCTGTCTATGTGAGTTTAGAACAGGGCTTCTCATCCTGCTGGATCCACTACCCCCTTTCCTTCACAAATATTTTATTCTCCCTCAAATATCCTGAAGTGAAAGTTCTAAATAATATAGCCCTTCTAGATACTCAATTTTTAAAAAAGTTATCTCAGGGCCCCAGCTGTACCAAGCAAAAAGAAACTAGGTTCTCTGTGTCTATCAAGTATAAATGCTTGGGAATTACTACAGTAGGAAATACAGTAATCAAGTGTCCTCCCTGAATATGCCTTGGTGACCGTGACAGTTACAAATGCAGATGATTGAGACCTCATGTTAGTTTGTGGATTCTCTGACAAGTTCTGATCAGAACAAAGTACAGACATCCCTTAATTTACATCTCCTCTCTGGAAATTCAGTAGATGTTAATGTTACCCCAAAAGTCATTTTATGTTTGTAGACACAAGAAGCCAGAGTTATGTTCTAGACTAAAATGTTTGAACAGGTTTTCTCCATGGGAGTATCTTGTGGTACATTTAGATTTTGTGTGGGACAGAACAGTTGTCCCATTTGAAGAGTGTCTAGCCCCCTGTCCCCATCCACAAGGTCCCAGGAAGGCCCTTCCCTGATACTGTGCAGATTCAAGTCTGTCTGGCCCCACTTGAGTGGCCCTCCTTGAGGACAGGACCTCGCTTGCTGAGAACTGCTGGTTACAGTGTCTGGTTGTGAACAGCAGAAACCAAGTCAAGTGAAAAGGGAAATTTATTATAAGAATTCGGGGGTGACTCAAGAGTCCAAGGGCAAGAATGTGACCAGACATCCAGAGACTGGGACCGGGAGTAAAAGGCTGTCTCACCCCTGCCTCTCTCACTGTGGCTTTTTGCTGGGTATCTGCCAACTAGTAGCAGTAAGAGCCACACCCAGAGACGAATGTACAGGCCAAAAGCTTGAGAGACAGACTCCACTGAGGTCCATGGGGGTCTTCTGGCCAAGATGACAGAATAACTGTGCAGTGAGCCAAGGGAGCAGGAGACCCAGCCTGAGGATCCAGACTGTGGCCCAGGCTAGGCACAGGGGGAGCTTATACACTTAGAGGCAGTCATTCATTTGGACTTTTCTTCTCAACTGATGTATCATCATCTTTGTTCTAACAATGAGCACTACTCTGGGAATCATTTTTTCAGGACCATTTACTCCTGTTCCTTCATTCTCTTTAATGGTCACTTTTATCTTCTATTTTAAATGTCATTAAAAATGCATGGCTGTCATAAGAGTCATTTTTTCCTGGCATACTTGTGGCACCCCACAGTGACTGCACCTCGGCGCCTGCTCTGCTCCAGAGGCCCTGGTGGTGGCTGAGCCGGCAAAGCCAGTATGAGCAAGGCCCTCTCTGTGCCTGTCCTAAAGGGATCCCTGGGGCTGTGTTACAGGGCTGGGGCCTTTCAGGAAACTAAGGCAGCACAAAGGTCCAGCTTCAAACCCTGATTCTTGCATTCAAGTCAGAAGGAGTTCAGACATGCCACTCCGAGAAACAGGAAAGAATTTATTGGAAGGGAGGGGCAAGGGAGAGAGTGGCTCCTCTCAGAGAGGAGAGGGACAATGTGCCTCTCCTGCCCTCCAGTTTTATTGGGGGACCCAGAGAAATTTCCAGAGAATCCCTCCTAGGTTCACCTCTTGACCTTTGGCAGCATGTGACATCAGACTTTCAAGTCACACTGTCATGACAATTCTAGGTCACTTTGGCCATGCTGACCAGTTCTAATTGTATTCTTAACCATAAATTCTTACAGATTTTCTGGTTAGGAGGAATTATCCTTATCTTCCTGAATTCCAGGATTTGACTTGGGTTTCTTTTATCAACATTATCTCTGGCCTGAATTTCTCCTGCGGGTAACAGGTAGTTTGCTGAGGAATGTGACAGATCCTGTCCACTTAGGCCAGGCAGGGCTGCAGATAAATTGCTTCTTGGAAAAGAGAGCATGTGGGGGTTGACACAGGGGGCCCATTTCACAGAATGATTCCCTTAACCTCATGTTCCCCCACTCAAGTCTGTCTGGCCCCACTTGAGTGGCCACTCAAGTCAGTCTGGCTACTCCAGAACAACACACATGGAGAGAACTAGAAGCTGGAAGAGAACTGCAGCTGGAAGCTGCAGGTCTTAGGCAGTCAACACAGGCCTTGAAGTCAGACCTGTGAAATGGGCCTCCTGTTCTCTTCCCAGCAGGTCTGGCAGTAAATTAAATTAGATAATATGTGTATCGAGAGCCTCCCAGGGTTCTAGCCTGTGGCAGGCTCTCCGCAAGTGCAGCTAATGTTGTCACAGAGGTCCCACAGCACAAGGGAACAGGAAGGAAATACTAATTGGAGCTGGGAGAGGCAGAAAGGCGGTAGATGGAGCCAGGTGTTGGCTGGAGGCCTCTCTAGGCAGAGAAGGTTGTATGTGGAGGGGAGAAGAAGCCCTAAATGACTAGAACTTCATATTTCTACATGAAAATGTAGGGGAAAGCACAGAGCAAGGGTTAAGAGCACAAAACTGGGGCCAGATGGGGCCCTGACTTTTGTCTGAGTGGCTCAGGACTTTCGTTTCCTCATCTATCAAATAAGGAAAATGGGAGTAATGATGTAATACCCCTTCTTTATTGTGTTTTTGTGGAGGTGAGAAAGCCCCAGCACATAGTTAAGTACTCCACCTTGAATATATAATCTACTCAGATTTTTCATATTCATCATTCATGGTTTGCCTTTGTTTGCAAATCATTTTGCAGATGCCCAGCTCAGGTCTCTGCGGGAATTCTGCTCTCAGTGCTCTCCATTCACAGGGGGACCCAGAACCCTTTTTGCTTGTGGCCGAGCTAATGCCCTTCCAGGCCAACACACTGCCCCTGTCTCAGGCTTTCCAGCCTAAGTTGCCTGGTCTTGGCTAGGGCTGTCCAAACTATTTGGCATCTAAATAGTGATGTCACTGGTCATGGGGCCCCTGTGTGGCTCATGCCCTCCGAGGGTTTACACCCATTACTGAGATCACGTTCCCTCACATCCTGTGGACTGGAGGAAGGGCTTGCTTTTGTCTTGGGCTGCCTTCCCCTGCTTGAAAACAAATCTTTTTCATTTTTCTTTGAAGTGAATTTATTGTGCCATGGCACTGCAAAACGAAAATGATACTCAACTAATGTAAAGTCTGTGCTTCTACCCACGTCCCATCCACTCTCATTTCTGTGCCCCCATCATTCCTGGGAAACCCTTGGTGTTAATTTCTTGTCCACCCTTGCAAAGTCTCTGTATGCAAAATGCAGCCTCTGTGTTTTCCTTCTTTTTTTTTTTTTATCTTTAAGGAACACAATAAACATACTTTTTTTTTTTTAAGGAGCACAATAAGCATTCCTTTTTTAAAATATTCTCCTGGATGTCTGAAAGATCATTCCAAATCATACAGAGCACATCCTTGTTGATGAGCAGATCTTGGCAGAGTGTCCCCAACAGGTTAGCAGAGAGCCTTTGATTGGGCAGACTGAGGGAAAGAGTCAAGGAGGGAATGTCTGCTGGCAGCGAGGGACAACCAGCAGTCGTCTCCACCTGACAGATTCTGGGGAGCCATCCCCACACACAGGACTGCTATATCCCAGGCAGGAGGGAGAAAGCTGTCCTTGGATCATGCCAGTCACAGCCTAGATGACCCCCGGCTGGGCGATTCAGACTGTCAGAATGCTGTGGAAAGGAGCCAGCCCAGCAGGAGGGAGGGAGGCAGAATGTCTTGTGCTCCCCCAAAAGCCATGCCCATTCCACTCAACACCCCCCCCCACCTAGGTGAACCCTCATTACCAGCTGGTGTGAGCCCGTTCCTGCAGTCCCTGCACTGTAGGGACACATGCTCCATCCCATTGTCTTACATTCCAAGGCCACCGTTCCCCTTGCTAAGCTGGTGGTAAGGAAGGCCTTTGTCACCCTGTGTTTCAGGAGTCGTGCAGCATTTGCAGAATGGCCAGCTGCTGGGGGACATCTACCTAAAGAAACACAAACTCCTGCCGAGTGACTGGTCCCCGGACCAGCTTTACCTAGAGACCACGGGGAGGACCCGCACCCTACAGAGCGGGCTGGCCTTGCTCTATGGCTTCCTCCCAGATTTTGACTGGAAGAAGATCTATTTCCGGCACCAGCCAAGTGTGCTCTTCTGCTCCGGAAACTGCTATTGCCCCGTGAGAAACCAGTATCTGGAAAAGGAGCAGCGTCGCCAGTACCTCCTGCGGTTGAAGAACAGCCAGCTGGAGCAGACCTACGGGGAGATGGCCAAGATTGTGAACGTCCCCACCAAACTGCTCCGGGCCGCCAACCCCATCGACTCCATGCTTTGTCACTTCTGCCACAACGTCAGCTTCCCCTGCACCAGCAGCGGCTGTTTCGACATGGAGCACTTCAAGGTGATCAAGATGCACCAGATCGAGGATGAGAAAGAGAGGCGCAAGAAGAGACTGTACCTGGGGTACTCGCTGCTGGGCGCCCACCCCATTCTCAATCAAACCATCGATCGGATGCAACGCATCGCCGAGGGCAGGAAGGATGAAGTCTTTGCCCTCTACTCTGCCCACGACGTCACTCTGTCACCAGTTCTCAGTGCCTTGGGCCTTTCAGAAGCCAGGTTCCCGAGGTTTGCCGCCAGGCTCATCTTTGAGCTCTGGCAAGACAGAGAAAAGCCCAGCGAACATTCTGTGCGGATTCTCTACAATGGAGTCGACGTGACATTCCACACCTTCTTCTGCCAGGACCACCACAAGCGTTCTTCCAAGCCCATGTGTCCTCTTGAGAACTTGGTCCGCTTTGTCAAAAGGGACATGTTTGTGACCCTAGACAGCAGTAGTACTAATTATCATGATGCCTGTCACAGGGAAGGAGTCTAAAGATACATGGTACAGCCTACATTGGTACCGAGGGCTGGCAGGGTTCTCTTCTACTTCTGTCTGTTGGTAAAGGTACAAGAATATTGATTTTTAAAGGTGAAAACTTGCGTTTGGGAGCCACAGAGGCGGTCCAGGCTGAACACTAAGCACATGTTCTAAGTTGGTACGTGAGTTACTCAGTACACAATGGCCAGTACACAGGAAGAAGGAGGTACTGTTTCATAGCCAGACCACTCCGAATGCCAGGTTAATAGTCACTATCCAAAGTTGCCAATCAAAGTTTGTATTCCTTTGGCCTGCCGTAGAACCAGCAAACCTTAGCCAAATTTTCTTAATCTTGGACACTTTTACCTCGTCCTTGTCCAATGAAAAATTTCCAGAAGGGATTTGTCTAAAACAGGGGTTGGCCAATGTTTTTCCATAAAGAGGAAGAGAGAGAAGCAGAGAGTAGATATTTTACACCGTGCAAAAGGCCACACATCTTCTCTGTCACTTCTCAACTCTGCCCTAGCAATGCAGAGCAACCAGAGACAACACATAAAGAAGTAAAATGTGGCTGTAGGCACAGGCCCTACAAAACAGGCGGTGGCCCATGGTGGCTCACACGGTATAGTGTGCTGACCCCTGATTTAAAATCAGGCTGTACTATAATTGCACTCTCAGCACTTTGAGAACCAGCTGAATACCAAGAATTATTCAATGGTTCCTCCAGTAACTTCTGCTAGAAACACAGAATCTGGTCTGACACTATAACAAAACATCAAATCCGAACAAATCATAGAGAAATGACTAGAATAATACTTGATGTTCATGATGATTGTGGTACAAGATAGTTTTAAGTATGTTTGAAATAGCTGTCTGCTGTAGTCTATTTGCTGTGTATGCTGAAATTTTTGTATTCCATTTAGTATTTTTATAGTCTGGAAAAATATTTTCTAAGACCAGTTTTAGACACGCTCTTATTCCTATAGTAATATTCAATTTTCTGTATCTGCTTAGTGGTTGGAAGAAGGCCAGAAGCTGAATTCAGGCACTTTTTTCCAAAAGACTAATGACGGCTCATTCCTTTTGACAAGTCCTAGAATTGGATCAATTTTTAAATCATTTTCATCAGTTTCAAATGGCAAATTCCAATTGATTTTTAAATACGTTTTTAGAACTTTGTTACTAGATAATTAATCTTTCTAAGGTATTTTATATATTAGAAGCAATTATTATTAAATCTGTGATTTTGAAATAATGGTGCTAGTTCTCTTCAAAGAAATGTAAAGTCCAAGTGAGATCTCCAGTGTCGGTAGAATTCCAGCCCCTTCTTGATTTTGTCCAATGTTGCATTTGAACACATCTATTTCTATAAATAAATTTTTGAAGAATACTTTTCCTTTGCAACTAGTGTGTACCCATAAGTCACTCAAGTTCTTTCCAAGTGAGAAACAATATTTTTAAAATGTATCTTACCTGCTGTGTTTAGTGCTGAGAATCATATCCTCTCTGGAGCCTCTTCAGATTTCTTGCACCCACTTGCAATATATCTGAATTAGAACTGCTAAAAGACAACTTGAAGATTTAAAGATAAAAGCAAATTAGAAGACTTTAAAAAAAAAGGCAATTCTTGCCAGGCATGATTGTACACACCTACAACCCCTGTGACTCAGGAGGCTGAGGCAGGAGACTGCAAATTCAAAGCCAGCCTCAGCAAGTTTATAAGGCCCTAAGCAACTGAATGAGACCCTGTCGCAAAATGAAAAATAAAAAAGGCTGGGGATGTGGTTCACTAGTTAAGTGCCCCTGAGTTCAATCCCTGGTATAAAAAAAAAAAAAATCAATTCTTAACATCTGTCAGTAAAAGTATATGTTTTGGCTATGACAATATCAAAAATGAAGGTAATGTTTTATCTCCTGTGACTGCATTAAAATATGCTCCCCAATCTCGGTTGTGAGCCACGTCATTCCATGGCAAAGACAGAAAACACTGACCTGAGGTTGAGGGGCATAATCTTCAATTTTGAGACCACAGTCTAATGGCTTAATTCATGACAACTCTGGGTATGTACATGTATATATTTATCTTTCTTGGTTTTATGATTAAAATCAATACATGCATACTGGAAAATAATCAAACAATACTGAAAAGCAACTGCAGAAGTGACATTTTCACTTGTCAGAGGGGAAAGAACAAGGCTCAGACTCCCACTGTGGTCTTTCAACACACTGTGGAAACCAGGTGTGTGCAGGTTTTCCCCACACAGCAAGGAAGCAGTCAGTTCTGCCGCTGGGTGTTCAATCCTATCCTCAAACTTATTACCTGGCGATGGTGTCAGATCCCGTGGGTTGAGGGTTCAGTCCCCAGGACCACCCCACACATACTGCAGATGCTCATGGCAAACCTCAGGTGGTTTTACCTGTGTTTCTGACTGACTCACTATAAATTGGAGCTCTCACCATCCCCCTTCTTGGGTTTAGTTAATTAACACACTCAAGTGATTCACAGAATCCAGGGAAGCGTTTATTGATTTATTATTAAGGACATTACAAAGGCTACAGATGAAGAGGATGAGGTAAGGGGGAAGGGGCCAGGAGTTTCTGTGCCCTGTCCTGGCCTGCCACCTTCAGGAACCTCCACGTGTTCAGCTATCTGAAAGTTCCCCAACCTTCCCTTCCTTTGAATTTGATGGATAGTTATGACTGATTAAGTCACTGGGCACCAGTCATCAATTAACATTCAGTTCCTCTTCCCTTCCTGGAGGTTGGGGAGTGGAGCTAAAAGTCCCAACCCTCTAATCATGCCTCAGGCTTTCTGCGGAAGCCATCTAGGGGCTGCCCATGGCCAGCTGTCTCACTGAAGTAGACAAAAAAGAAACTAATGCTTTGAATATTCCAAGGGCTTTAGGAGAAAATGGGGACAAAGACCAAATATGTATTTCACAGAATTACATTCTCTAGTTCAACCTCCAGAGATAACACTATGAATTGTTTGACAAATATTTTCCTGGAAATTTCTATATAAAAGCAGAAATATATATATATATATAAGTTAAAAATAGGAACAAAACCATTTTGTAGTCTTCTATGACTTGCTTCTGTTAAAATATATATATTTTTTTCATTACCTGGTTTCCTTTAACAGTACGTCTTAGAAGTCTTTCCCATTGACTTGTTCCCCTTAACAGTGTATTAGAGGTATTTCTATGTTGAAGTAGCTACAATATAAATGAGACATATTTTTAAGTCGCATTAAAAATGCATGAAATTGAAATTTAAAGGCATTGTATTAAAACAGGACCATAAGGCTTTGCATAGAATGAAGCAGGGGCCAGAAGCCTTACTGATTTTCTAGCCCAACTGAGCAGTTTTCAGTGGAGCTACAGGTACCAATCAACAGGAGTATTCTTTCTCTAACTTCCCTTTTAACAGGACTGAAGAACTTAATTATAGGCTATCAATAATTAATAGCCTTTCAAATAGACAGTTAAGCTGACACGGGGGTCTTCGTGGGTGTGGCAGAATTAGACTTTCTGGAAGATGTAGGCGATTCCTTTTCCTGGAACTCTAAGGCCGATGGAGGGGGAACAGGGCAGCACAGTTGTGTTTCTCTGGCTCTTTAGGAAGCCTCTGACCAGCCAGCAGTGCTAACCAGGCTGGGTGCCCTAGAGAGTTAAAACACAACCACAAATAGACAGCAGAAACAGCTGGGCTCTACTTGGAAGTCCTGGCTTTACTAGCATAAAGGCCAGCACAGAGGCTGGCCTGGACACCAGCTCCCTCCCAATGCTCAAGGCCACTGAACTGAATGTTTGGATTGTGTTGGTGGCTCTCAGGAGCCAGCTCAGATGAGTAATAAGAGCTTCTGCTTAAGAGGAACCAGCCGAATTCATCAGCATGGCTGGTCAGGCCTTCCTGGATTCTGACACCCAACTGCCAGCTAAGACTGGCCTCCATGAGGAAGAGGTGTGGCTGGGGAAAAAAAGTGCTTTACTTACACTATTTCATTTAATCTTTGCAATAGACCTTCCAGATAGAATATTTGCTGGTGCATATCAATGAACACTAAAACCCAGTGAGGTGATGGCAGTAGTGGATTTAAGTCTAAGTGGTTAGAATTATTCCAATTCTGCATGAAGCCATCTGTGGTTTGCTGATTTTGTTAAGAACTAGGAATGTAAAAACTTACCTAGGCAGTGGTGTTATATTCTTCTCGTCCACTAGGGGGCAAAATCAAAGACCGGTTTTGTTTTCAGGGCTGTTTTGCATCTGCAAAGGTGGTTTGGGGATGTGTTGTAATAAATAGGTTGACCAGCTTGTCCCCGTTTTCCCCACTGAGGAGTTTGCACAAATGCAAGACTTTCAGTGCTAACATCTGAAAAAGTCCAAAGCAATCTAGAAAAAGCTGACGACTCTAGTGTTATATGTTGAGACAAAAGTCAGGTACTACTGTAGGGCTGGGATTGTGGCTCAGTGGCACAGCACTTGCCTAGCATGTACGAGGCACTGGGTTCGATCCTTAGCACCACATAAAAATAAACAAAATAAAGGTGTGCTGTCCATCTACAACTACAAAAAAAAAAAAAAAATTTAAAGAGGTACTACTATGATTTCCACAGTATAGAAAAGGGAAGCATGATGGAGTCTCTAGTCTGAGGTGCCACATAGGCAGCAGAGCTGAGGACTCAAGCTGTGTATTCTTAACTTGAAGGATCATATTCCTAAGCAGGATGTATGATATGTGTCTCTGAACCATTAGGGTCTATTTGGTTACATGCAACAGAGACACCTGAATACAGTGGCCTAAACAAATAAAGCCTTTCATTTCCTCCCATGGCTCCATGACGCCATCAGAAACCCAGATTCCCAAGGACATCTCACAGCTCAGAATGGGGGTCCCTTGGCAAAGAAGTCTTGCGAAATATTAACACTACTTATTAATGCTGTTCCAAATTAAATCAGCACCACTTACTAAGGAAGAAAGGGAAAGCAAGTTCTGGGTAGAGAATTGGCAGTGAATGCTTCTCTTAAAAGCCACCCAGGACAGCTGGAGGTGTGGTAGAAGCTGTCCCACCCAGACCCCCACTTCAGGACTTCTCGCCTTAATTGCTGGCAGTGTGCAGCTGCCAGCCTTTCAGGGAATTGCCCTGGTGAAGAGAGCCATCGGCGGAAGGAGGCGTGCAGGGATTTAAAGGCCTGGAGACAACCTGAAGCCCCCCCTGCATCAGAGTTCTCTGGGGTGGGCTGAGGCTTCTGCCTCACGGTGCTTCCTGCACAGTGGTGGCCCCAAGCACTCCTGGTAAACTTCCTGCACACACGCCTGGGAACTGACCTGCATGGAGGACAAGCAAATCCTAGGAGACACACCTCTGCTCACCTGGCAGGAAACTGGAGTATGGCAGGTAAAGGGCTAATGTACCTATTGATGACACATTCCTCCTTTTTTGTCACTGCCTTTAAGAGGTCTACCATTTTATTGTCTAAGCTAAGTACAGCTGGCCTCTACAGCCACAGATTCTGCCAACCTCAGCTTCCATCAACTGTGGATCAAAATTATTGGGGGGAAAATGTCCTGAACACATGTAGAATTTTTCTTGTCACTGTTCCTTAAACAATGCAGTATAACAATGGCTCACATTGTAGTAGATACTATAAATGACCCAGAGATAATTTACAGTGTGTTGGGGGATATGCATATTTTATATGCAAATGCTATACCATTTTATATGAGAGACTCAAGTACCTGCATATTTGGTATCTGGGGGTGGAGGAGGTCCAATCCCCTGTGGATACTGAGAAGTGACCATCTGCACATGTGAAGCAGTAGGAGATATTTTGTTCTGGCCAGTTCTCAGTTAACGACAGAGGCTTTTATACCAAGACTTACCACTTATTGAACACACACCATGGACTGGACACTGGCTAAGCCTTCAACTGATACAGCTTGCATCTCACAGTATCAGTGACCACTGGAAGCAGGCCTTTATTATCCTCATCTTACAATAAGGAAACTGAGGCTCAGAGGTAGATGAGTACCCAGGATCACACAGTCAGTAGGAATTGGAAGACCCAGGGCCAGAACCCGATCATCCCAGACTACCAAGCTCTCCCAGGCCCCTCTAGCACACACTTCCTCTCCCCCATGACTCCATGGCCCCTGCCCCACAAGTGAATAAGTGAAAATTGACACTGAGGCTACAGTGAAGGGTCCATTCCACTCTAGAGAAAGATCCCTTTCCTGCAGCTTTGTTATGGATGTTCATATTTATGGCTCCTCCATTACTTTTCCCACTTTTTTCCCCCTAATACAACATTTCCAAGAAAGTAGGATCATCTTAACAATGGATTATCTTAGTCTGGGCTCCCCTAAAAGTAGAGTCTGAGGGGAAAAAAAGCTTAAGTGTGGGTGATCCCCTAAGGAATATGATCCCAGAGAGCAGGAATGAAGGACAGGGGTGAAGAAGAGTTGGAGGGAATGCCATTGAGTTGACCACCCCATGGGTGACTGGCTGCTTCAGCCCCAGGACCTCCTGAGGAGCTCCTGAAGTATGTCTCAGAACTATTCACTGGGGGAAGAAAGGGGAAAACATTTGCCTACTGGCTCCATCCACAGCATATCAGAGAAGCCCCAGGGAAGGAAGCAGGAGATTCCAGATGCTATCAGATTAAGGTCTGTGTGGAACTGGTCACCCATAGCAATGGCTGGAAAGACAGAGGACTGGAAAGTGGAGCAGAGATATGTTTGACATGCAAGATGAACCAGCGTTTGCTGAGTTTTAATGTGCTGGCTCATGAGAGGGATTAAAAAGGCAGTTGGGGTGAGACCAACTGGACCCAGTGTGTGTGTGTGTGTGTGTGTGTGTGTGTCCTTGCTAAGCTTGAAGAGCATGTACACGGGTGGAGATAAGAACTCACTCCTTCTGGCCACCAGAGGGAGCTTCAGTTTGCTGGGAAAGAAGCTGCTTCTTGAGTGGTAAACAAGAACAGAGAAAGTAGAGGGTATTTGGCACCAGCTGCCTGAATGAGCCAAGACAGATGGCAACCAAGAAAGGGACATTCTCATCTACTTAAAGTGAGGTTCTTAACCAGGGCCCAATAGATGGGCCTCAATTTTGCTTTCATTATAGTGTGGCTTTAAAGATGATTGCTTGCCTAGGAGGAGTTAATAGCTTTCACTGGATTCGCAAAAAGAATCCAGCACACAAAAATGTGTTAAGAATGAATGCTCTGGGAAGAATCTCAGCAAACACATTCAGATAGGCAAAGCCTCATCTGGATTCAAGCCTCATTTCTCCATCCTTCCCATCAAGCCAGGGTGGCAGGAAGGTGGCTAAGAGAGAGAAAAGATTAAGTGGCTGTTTTGTGTGTGAAATTTCTAGACAGGCCTAAGGAAATTAACCTGGGTTTTTCTTGCCTGGAAGCTACACTTAGCCCAGATGGCAAAGATCTCTAAGCTGAGATGGACTCATTTATCAGGACCTTTGTTTGGGGCAGGAAGTATGTGTATGTGATCACAGATAGCTATGTGGTTTTGTATATTCACACACCAGTGTGTTCACCAGGTGTCTTAGTCTGTTTCCTGCTGTTATTACAGAATGCCAGAGACTAGGTGATTTACAAGGAAAGAAAATTATTTGATTTGTGGTCCTGGAGGCTGAAAATCCAAGATCGAGGGACCACATCTGATGAGGGCTGTTCCTGCATCCTAGCATGGTGGCAGGCATCACATGGTGAGAAGGCATGTACAAGAGAGCAAGAGGTCAAACTCACTTTTGTAACAAATCCACTGGAGATAACTAACCTGCTTCACAGAAAACGACATTCATTCTAATCACCAGTGATTAGTCCCACTTACCAAAAGCATTGCATTAGGGGTTAAATTTCCAACACACGAAATTCGGAGGACCCAAGCAATAGCATAAGTGTAGGTATGTGAGCAATGGGCTGTGAAGGAACGGCCTTTGTTTGGGTCAGTAAGTATGCACCTCAATGTTTTGTGAATGATTTGCACATGTGTGCTCACCCGTGAGTCCTTCAGGTCTTTTAATGAATTGAGACAGATTATGAATAAGAATTTCAATATCCGCAGACATGCTGCTCACATCAGAAATCTGGGAATTCTCCACGCCTCTCTCTCCCTGATCCCTTATCGTCCGCTCAGTCCATACCACCCCATCATCACCTTTCCATCACTGCTCCCTGGACTACTGCTCAGTCCTAATGGCTTCCCCTCAACCCTTCTGGGAAGCCAAAGTGGGGTCAAATGAAGTTTGGGTCACAAGCTGCCTTCCCGACACCAACAATGGCTTTCCTGGGCCTGGGGATACCGCGCATCTGCTCCTCGCGGGCTCTTTCAAGGTCGCAGTGGTGCTTACTGAGGCCTGAGCCCTGCTCCCAAGGCCCCGGCCCTGGACGCGTCAGTCCCTCCGTCTGGTCCTATCCTACGCCTCAGGTTTGGCCTCAGAGGCCTTGCGTCCTCGGGAACCTACAGCCCTGCCCGTAAGTCCCCATCGCTGGGATTAGCACAGGCTGCGGTAATGGCCGCATCCGGGCAAAAACTGTCCGTCACGTCCCACTCGGTTAACCCCTCCCCACCCAACCAGGAGCCAGAGAGACCACGGTTCCGAGTCGGGCACGTCTCTCGCCCACGCAGCAAGGCCACGGAAACGCGCCTGCGCGCGGGGAACAGTAGGAACTACGACTCCCAGGATCTTCTTGAGCAGGACTCCATTTCCCAGAAGGCTGCGCGGGGCGTCAGCCCCAGAACGGCCTGCGTTTTCGTAGACCGAAGGTGGAGCGAACCTGGCGGTGGAGGCGGTTTCTGGAGGGTTGCAACCTACGGGCTTCTGCGAAGTGTCCAACTCCAGGGGTCGCTCGTGAGTCAGAGAAACCCGGACTTTGAAAGGAAGGGACCGGCCGCTTCTGATCTTAGCTGCGAGGCGTCGCAGTGCCTTGTGGCCCACGGGGCTTGTCCCAGTGTCTCCCCGCGGCGGGTGCATGCTCCCTGTGCACCCACAGGCGTCTCCAGTGGGTAGAGGCCGATGGCCGGACCGCTTCGGGCCTCCCTAACTCCAACGCATTTCCTGTTGTCTTCCTAACTCAGACGCCCATATCCCACGGCATTTTTTCCCCACTTGTAGCGGTGGCTGCAGGAGGCTTGGGTGCAGGCAGAGGGGACTGGTGTGGAGAGTAACTGGGAGGAAGCAGATTTGTGGTTCCTGTTCAAAGAACTCAGATTTCCTGTGTCCTCGGTCCACTCAGGTCATATT